CAAATGGAGTTTGTATTAATGCTTCCAGTTTTTCAGTGTGTAGGTTGGTAGTATATATAGTATAGTGTATAAAACAGCAGAGTTTATTGATATTGGTAGATAATAAATCATATATATATATACAAATATGTGACTGTGTTTATAATTTATATAAGTTATGTGTGTATATATATATGGTTAAGAAAGGGGAAGCCAAAGTGAGCTTTTATTTCAGATTATATTCTGAAGAATAGAAAATGAAGATGAGTGAAGCATATTTAAATCAGCAAACATTCACTCAGTGATCTTTCGGGTCGCTACATAGGAGTAAAACTTTCATGCATTCTGTTCACAGTTTGAAATGTTAAATTAGCTTATGTGTATATGGTGGTTTGCCTCATTTCACTGAACGATTTTTCTGCTGTTCCTTTTACTTTTTCCCTGGGTTTTTTTCTATTTTATTTTTATGTTGTTCAAAACTGAAATAATTAACCTTTAATATTTAAAGGGCTACGGCACTGATAAAATTAGATACTTTCAAATTGATTATACTGAAAAAAACCCCACGTTTCCTTCTTATAGTTGAAGACTATAAAGATAAAATGGCACTATTTATTTGCTTTATGTCAGCCCTGGCTGACAGTAGAAACAACCTAGCGTAGTCAGTCTTTGCTTTTACTTAGCCTTTTCACAGCAGAAACAAAGGCAGTTGTTGAGCCACCCATCTGGCTACAGTGAGGTTCTTTTGGTTGTGCTAAGAAAGGGAGGAAGCAGGGCAGCATCCCTGTTTCTGATGAGGGGAGAGGGAAAAGAACTTAATAAAAAACAGTTGTGTGCTTTATTTTGAGTATCATAGGAACTTTACCTAATGTCGAAACGCATTTGTGTTTTGGTGCCCTTGACTTATTAGGAGCCACAAGGAAGGAGTCACTGCTGGGAAATCAGCAATTAGTCCTTCTTACAGTTATGCCAAATCTGGTTTTTACACCTACAGCACAAATGGGACTACAATTAGGCATGTATCCCCAGACGTTCTGAGCAATTGTTCAGCTTCTGCTTTCAGGTTCAGCCTATCAGTTACAGCAAAGTAATCCACAAAGGCAATTAAATATGGAAATGTGTTGTCAGTCAAGAAAGTGTAAGAATGGGTATTCTTTAATGTTCTTCTTTCTTAAAGATCAGTTATTTAAAGGATCATTTTTAAGGGATCAGATGTTTTTATTTCCTTTCTAAGAAGAAACCTTTACTGAGCAAGGCAAGGGACCAAAATCTGTTTAACAGCACAACAGGGACTAGCATTTCATCAGTGCTAGGATGTTACCCTGTCACTGGGGGTAACACTCACAAATACAGTTGATATGCAGAGGGCTTGAATTTTTCCCCTCCATGGTCACCTCCGTTACTTGGGATTTAACCTTCACTCTGATTGTGTGCTTATTCATTCATTGCAGATGAATTTACAGTTTGCAGGACTATGTAGGCAAAGACCACTGAGCCCAGAGATGGTATGTAGGAACAGATCAACAAATTAACTTCCTGTGCAAGCCAAGCCTTACAACTGAATCTCATATAAATAACACTCAATAGTGGAAGTTGTCTTGGCAATGTCAGTTGTAAGATTTGAGAGGCCTGATCTGAGATATCTTGAAATCCTAGGATGCAAAAATGACACTAACTGATAAATCAATGGAAAATGTTCAGATGCTCTTAAAAATCACACGGAATGTCTTCTGAACTTAGAAACAAATATCAATTTTACAAATTTAGTGAACATTGGGAAACATAAAAACCTAAATTAGCACCTTTAAACACTGCTTTCTAAGCCCCTTAAGATGCAACTGATGTATCTAATAATGCATAAGCAAAACAAAAGAATCTTATCAAATACTTGAAGTGCAAGTCTGCATCCACCAAGGCTTCTCACAACACTCTATCACTTGAGCCAAAACCATGTCTCTGTAAAAAAAGCTGGGGCTTGAACTTACACTAAATATCTTGATACTATTTCTAGTGTCATATCTGCACTGCAATTTGTGCTTATATCTGGTACCTCCAACAGATACAACCAGGTGTTTGACAGGTAGGGTTGTTTATGGATTTGAGTCCAAACACTGACAGACTAAGAAGTCTCTGCTATGTCTCAAAGCTGTGGCTGCCACATCCCTGGAAGTGTTCAAGGCCAGGTTGGACAGACCTTGGAACAGCCTAGTCTAGTGGAAGGTGTCCCTGCCCATGGCAGGGGATTTGAAGCTAGATGAGCTTTAGAAGGGCCTTTCCAACCAAAACCATGCTATGATTGTATGAATCTGTAAGTATCTTGTGGGATAAGTCCCTGTCACATGCTATTCCTGAACCGCATATATTCCTTAACTATAATCTGAAATAGCAGCATTTGCTAAAAAGGACCAATGCTTCAACACAAGGAAAAGCACTGGCAATTAAATACTCTGTACTGTGGCACATCAGTGTCTCAAGCCTGTGGCACGGTCTTGTTTTATTTCTTTAGAAAATTTAAATGTATTGAAGCTATAAATCACCTTGACCAATTGCCAGCCTTTATCATACTTCAACAGGACAGATTAGCAAAGCCCAGGGTGAAATTTCATACCAAAATTAGTGGAAGAGGGATCTGGCTCAGCATCAGGACAGTGGCACAAGGTTTGAGGAGGGGATCCCATTTCAGTACTACTCCCTGTGTGTGAATCAGGGAGCTGTTGGGTTATTTCAGAGAAGGTACTTGGAGAAGGTGGAACTTGAAAGGGAAAACTTGAATCTGGGTTTAGCCATATCAAAGATACATGCCATAAAGAGGAGCCCTATTGGTTAACTAGAAACGAGTGCCTGTCTTTTTTGGGTTTTTTTTTTTCCACCAGAGAAGATTTTACTTTATTTTGGTATAAAATGGAAAAAATAAAATCAAATCTTGAAATCTCAGTAAGTTTCAGAAAGTAGAAAAACTGTTTCCCATTCAGGTATACCCTTGGCTCCTGTGGTAACACCCTGAGAGCATTTGTTCATTTGTCCTTGTGGAAGACCTCTCTCAGCTGTGTTTCCCCCGCTCCATTTCTGGCTGTGTGCATGTACAGCATGCCATGTACAGAATGGCGTGTGACACACATTAATACATATAGATAGCCTTCTGCTTCTGACCTTACAAACTGTCCACTTCAGCATTGTCACTCTATGAAATGTCCAACTGCAGTCCAAGAAATGCATTTTAAATGTGAATGCAAACATTTCTATTACTGATAACACCAGCGCAGCATTTTTTTGCTTTGCTGGGATTAGGACCTTGATAGTTAAAGTTACATTGGAGTAATGACACTCCAAAGTCATGTCCTTTACTGACGTGACAAAGGAAGGAGAGGCGTTTGCTACATTTCTGCTGATAAAAAGGATTATTCCTTGTGTTTGGTGGGATACGTTAAAAGTAAAAGAATATGTTTGTGACACGGAAATAGTTTAGGTTGCCAAAAACTGAGAGAAATTTGCATGTTGCACTATGTGGAAGTCACGCTTAATTCATGCTGAAAGTGAGATTTTAGAGAGCATTCCAAAATCTGATAATGATTTAAATAAATGCCTCCCTCTTCAGTGAAGAACCATCTTCTCACATGGACAGCAAAGCAGCTGCAGTTCAGCTAGAGACACCTTAAAAAGCAACAGAAGTATTTGACCTGCAGAGAGAACCTCGCAGAAGTTGCAGCTTAGAAGGCTAACTCACAACCTGTTCGAATACGTTCCACTGTGCTCCACTTTCCTGCTCTGCAAAACAGGGATAATAATCTTTATTGATCTCTCTAGCTTTTAATAAGAACTTAAGTGATATCTTTAGAGATATCATTTTAGAGACCCTATTTCTCAGCAACCAAGAAGATCTACACTAGTCAATGAATGTGATAAGGGACACTGGGATCCTACTAGTGGGAGGGAAAAAGGACATGGAGTGTGGTGGATGCTGAGGATAAAGAGGATGAAGCAAGGCTTCTGGAGGGGGAAGACTGGAGGCCTTACAATGGGATAGATGCTTTCTGGGGCACTATGATAAAGTCAGAGAGGTAGTGAAGGAGATAGAGATGTGTATTGCTGGTTTTTTGCCTTTTCCTGTTGCAATAATCCTGTGACTGTAGCTTCATCAGTTGTTGTTTGCAAAACCAACCAAACAAAAAGTTTGTGTTTATTCCAAAGTTTCATCAGAAGTTTGCTTCAGATGCTCTAATACTTGTAAAAAGAGTCTTCCAACAGTGGAACTTTCTTCAGCCTAGTGGCTTATTGACAAGCTTTCTTACATCATCTGTTTGACATCTCATCCTAATGTAAGTTTTACAGGCATGTTCACATTTTAGGAAAGCACTGTATTGTCAAGTCTGAGATGTTGTGTCTCTTTCTGCAAGTACTTGCCCCAGAAATGTTAGCTAAACTGTTTTATCTAACACCAGCCCTCCTGTTGTGTTGTACTACTTAGTTGTCACCCAAAAGCAGCTATATTTTTATGAACATATCTTAATAAGCCATATCCTGAAAGGCACCAGTATCTCTTTGATCCTTCCTGAGATCACATGGGGGTAATAGGTGGTCATCTAGAGTGCTAGGCATCAGTAAACCAAGGAAAATTACATAAGCACCATAAGATCACAGTCATATGGATAAGATGAAGAAAGCAAGATGAACAGACTGGTATGTGCATCTATTCCACTCTGTGTTCAAATGAGAGGTGGAAACAAAGCATCATCCAGGGACCAGAACATGTCCCAGCATTTGTTTCAGACACTCTGTGACAGGAGATTTGTTGGGGGTAACAGTGGAAGTGGTAAAGCCTACAGGTGATACGGGACACAAAATGAGCTTGAAAGTCCTCATCACCCCCATAAAGAAACATGGGGATGAGGCCTTCAGCCCATCCTATCTGTTTCTCTGTGCTTATTTCACCCGTTTGATGTAACGCGCATGAAACAAGCAATCACGTGTGGTGAGTATATGCAGTATGTGTGCATTTTCCCATTCTGTGTCTTTTTTTCCAGATTATTGGAACAATCCCACTGATGCCTAACCCAGTCCCCTCCAGCCAAGCAGCAGGTGGAGCTCAGGGCCTTCAGGTGCAGCCGATAACTCCGCAGTTATTGACCAATGCCCAGGGTCAGATCATCGCTACCGTCATTGGCAACCAGATACTCCCAGTGATCAATACCCAGGGAATAACACTATCACCACTCAAACCAGGCCAGCAGGTAAAGTGTCTGTAGCCTGAATGATTATGAAAACAGATGCACACAAATCTTCTACTCTTCATGGACTCTCTTTCTAAAAACTCCCTCTTCTTTATCATTTTCAATAACAAAAGATGAATTCTGTCGTACATGGTATATTGGTGCATACTATATATGTAGTTATTATCTAATGTTGTACTACAGCACTTATTTGTACATTCAGGAGTTATCCAGTTACTCTTCTTTTTTTTCTTATTTCTTCTAAAGGTCAATATAGGGCCAACTGAGGACTTTTGGGCAGTGAAAACACAGTAGGAATATGAGACAAGAGAGGCCCGTTTGGCCTGTCAAGCTCAGTTCCTCAGTTAGCAGTCACTTACTAGACTGGGGCTTGAAATGTTTTGGAACATAGAAAAGAAAGAAAAAATATAAAGTCTTCAATGGAAAATCAGATATGGTTATATTATAGCCATTTGTATTATATTATTATATTTGCAGACAGAAAGTATTTTGGGGGGAATTATTATGCAATGTAAGTCACCAGGTAGGTGTCAGGCTTCAGGATGGGTGCAGCAACTTCACCAAGGTCCACAAAGATTTCTGTAGTTCTTTTTATAGTACTCTTTGCAGTACTCTAAAGTCAAATGCATTAGTTTTGTCTGTAGAGCAAAGACTCGTAATGCCGCCTTTTTTACTCTGTAAGAGAGGAAATTGAGGATGGAAAAGACATCAAATGTGATTACCAAAAAGGTACTTAACACTTAATGTCGCACACTTATTCAGTTTAGTATTCCAATTACTCATAGTGTCTGTTTGCTAGTCCTGCCTACACCTCCAGTCACAGTAGGAGCCTTTCCCATGTTTCTGAGAATCTCAGCCTCCCTGAACTCCAAACTGGTGACTTCCCCCCCCCAAATTTAGTAGAGCCAGTGAATCTCTAAGATGACTTTTTTGTTTGTTTTGAAAATGATTCACATCCAAGTGCTTACATACTCTTTTTTTCTATCCTCTCCTGTGTAGCATTTTCAAAGTACTTGTCATTTATCTAACTCTATTTTTCTTTAATGGGAGCAGACTTATGCTACTGGCAAGTGCTTTTACAATTGTTGCATGTGCGTGGTATCAAACAAAGCAGGATGGAGGGGAGGGAAGGCTCTGTGTTCTCCAGCACAGGAAAAGCCTGACAATGGAAGAAGAAATTCAGCAGTTTACATTTGGTTTCTTAGGGGTGTGTGAGGTGTTTCTTTTTGAGTCAGTCTCATGAAGAGATTAGATCTTTCCCTCCTTTATGAGGGAAGCTCTCAAAAAGCACAGCAATCCTGAGATCCCACTTGAAATTCCTCAGTTTTTGAAGAAGAGGATAGAGATCCTGTATTATTCCCTGAGACCTTCTCAGCTGCAAAGCAACACACTGAGTCCTGCAGCAAAGCAACCTCTCCCACACAACGTCCAACAGTAGTATCAGTGGACAGAGAGGAGACAGAGGTGTGACCCTTCTCTGCACAGCTAGGGGCACTGGGCTCACATAAAGGCTCAGATTGCTGCTGAAGGCTGCAGCTTGCTGAATGAGCAGGGGTTCAAGGTGGAAAGTCGGTGTTTAGTCATGTTGTGATGTATTGTACTGGCTCACCCAACTTGTGTGCTCTTGTGCAACGATCAGCTGGCAGAGATCATCAGTCAGCAGATCTCTCATTATGTGCAAGAGTCCTAAGGTCGCAGGGGCTGCAGGAGCAGTCACCAAACAACATCCTTACACTCATCTGTTGGAGCCTGATCAAGACAGGATTTTTGATCAGGGGAAAAAAAATAGTGCAAATACTATAGGAAAAAATAGTAGACATTATCATTTATACAGGAACCACAGAGAATTATTTCTGTGTATTTGTGCTCCCTCTACTGGCTTTTCTGCTTTTACTGAAAGAAGTCGGGAAATTTTGCCATTTATTTCAGTGGGAGCAGAAAAGAGGTGTGAGAATCAGATATTCCTCACAAGAATCGTGCTGATGGATGGTCAAAAGCAGTGGAGCTAGTGCTATACAAACTGCCCTATCATTTGAAAAGTAAATAGAATTACACAGAGGATAAGGAGATCCTGAATTTATCTTATTGCCTGGGTGAAGACTTAGCCAAACTGTAAGTAATGTTTGGCTAATGACAACATATTTCGTCACAACTTTAAAACCTTGTTTTCGGAAGAACTGAGTGCTCAAGCTCAGGAATTCAAAATATTTTTTAAATGGTGTCTCATGGCATTTGATGTCTTGTAACTCGATGAAAGAAGCTTTAGAAGAGGGAAAGAAGAGTACAAGACAAGTTTGGGAGAAGTTTTGCAAATGTCACAAGAGAAATAAATGAGGAAATAAATAATGTAGTAAAATGTTCCAGCTGCAGATGATCCCAGTTCAACTTTCAACTTGTCACTTGCTTGGAAACTAAGTACTGCAGGAGAAAGAGAGGTGATTGCAAGCGATGATAGTAAGCTGCTGCTTGTTAGTTTAGTCACAGTAATTGAACGTGTTTCAGATGCTAAGTAATGTGTGCTGGTGCTGACTTCTTTGCCTGAAGACTGAAGACTTAAATTCCTCAGATTCTGTTTTTAGTCAGCTTTACTTAGGTACACTACGTGTTATTTATTCATACAACTTTCTTAAACTTGACAGACTAAAACCTCAATGTCTCTTCATGGAAATCAGTTCATACATTACTTACGTGTAATGTAAAGCAGTGCTTCTTTTCCTGTGTTGTAAATAGGTGGCTTTTTAATGTAAACAAGCAACCCTATTGCAGTTCTATTCCTCTTGGTTTTGAGAATAAGTAGGTGTTTCTCATTTATGTTAAGATACCCACAGTAGGGATCATTCCTCTTTAAATTACCCTGAGTAGTTAAAACTTCAGTGTTGTCACTGTTTTCCAAGATGGAGCTAATTTAAGCAGCAGCATCTATGCACACACTGAGAATTCTCCTAGAAGTTATAATGGCTTTCTAAAGCAGGCCCCTGTTTGCACTCCTGTTGTAGTCTGTGTCCTCTTTATCTCTGTTCATAAACAAGTTTTTCTTTGCCTTTAATAATTTTTACTGCCCATCTCCCCAGCCATTTCACTTTCCACACTAATCTCATCAAGATTTTGTGATCAGAACTGAGTGCCACGAACACAGTGAGGATGCATCACTGTTTTACAAAATAACCTTAGATTCTATTTTCAGCATTATTTTCTGTCTTTATCTCAGTGCAGCCTAACATCCTGCTTTCTTTCTATCTCTGCTTATTGAGTAGATTTTTCAATAAGCAGATGTATCCACCATGATACCTGTTTTCTTCCCTGATTGTTACCATGGGAGTCACTAAAATGGTTCTTTTTAATGTGAATCCCTTGGCACCTAGCTACTCTATTTCATCTGTTAGAATGCTCCCCCAGCATGTTGTACACAGGATCTGTAAGTTGTTCATGGTATTTCAAGAAATTCATGTGCTCCTTCTATTGATTCAGTTTCAGTATTGTTCACCATCTTGTCTTACTGGTTGCTAAAACCATTCAAAACGTTTTGTATCAGTCCTTCAATCTCTACTTGTTGTCTCCTTCCCTGAAAAAGGACAATGTATTCCCTACATTTTTTACATTTATGTTTTGCTTTTTTAAAAGCTGTTTATATCTCATAATAGAAGAGTACCTTGTAACCTTAACTTCTGCACTCCCTCCATGCCTCTAAGGAGGGATTTTGGCAAAATCCAGGTTGTATGGCTAAATGCACACATGAGCTTGTGGTAACAACTCGTTAGCGTTGTCATTTGCTATCAGATTGGAAAACCTTTTTTTAAGGTGTTCTTTCATCTCTTTAACAACACACATTAATACCAACACAACTGACAGAAGAACTTTAACCATGAATGGGAGTTTTATGAAATTTAGGAAAGGAGCCATCTTGCTTAACTTAATCATAGAGCAGTTAGGTATCTGATGGATGCTAGTTAACTAGATTTCCTGTACAAATAAAGAGGCATCAACAAGGAGACATATTAATATCTGATAGGCAACTCAAGCTGTCAAAATAGAATGATTTTTATATAGGTTGAATCTCTAATAGCTATTTGAAGGTATCTATTGTCTCCATTGATGTGAGAGGGGCCTAGGGTACCTATTTTAGGACTGAAGATTAATTCTTAGCTGAGTGAAATTAGGTAAAATGAATCCAGCTGCCAGTGATCATTGGGGTTCAAAACACCTTCGTGTTTATAAATTCCTTAAACAGCTTTCCTAATAACTGGTGTTTACGTAACTATTTGCTTGCCCACACAGAAGCAAATTCTACACTTTCTGTTATACTCCAGTGTAATTCATCAAGTGGATTCCCTTCTTGCTGTTGTCTGGTTCTTTCCTTCTACATACCAGACTCATTAAATCAGGCCTGTAGTCCCAGTTGTCTTCAGTCTTGTTTTATCTACACTGCCTGCCAGAACTTTTCATATTTCATCATGCCTTATAGCACTACCAGCTTTGGGCTTCTGCCAACTCTTAACACAATAAAATGAGCTACTAGGCAGCATTTTCTTACATAGTCAGTTCCCCATCTTTGTTGTCATTGGCTATCATGCTCCAGATTAACTGCTGAAAGGACATAGCTCTCAGATGGATCTCTGGTCATTCTTGTGTCTCTGCTTTCCAAATTTCATGCCAGACATTTTCTTTCTGTAGTCTCAACCTACCACATATACCCTTCCATCTCATTACCACAACTCCATGCAATTGCTTGTTATCCTCTTCCATTAAAATCTAACCAGCTCTCTTTCATTTTCTCTCTGCAGTGTTCTTCCTGCTTTAATGCTGCCTTGTTTTATGAAAAATGCACCCTTCTTTCTCCGTGTTTGAATACAGCCACTAAACCATGTTGTCTTAATCCAACTTTGGTTTTCTTTTGCCTTTTGTATGACTTGCAGCAATGAGGCTAACAATTTTTCTCACTTCTTTCTCTTTAACATCAGTATTGTATAATTCCATTTCATCCATGGATAAAATTACTAGTT